GGCGCGCTCCGGGTGCGGGCCGGCGCGCAGAGCGGGGTCTGGGGCGCCAGGAGGCCTGTGGGCGGTGGACTAGCTCCGCTGTCGGGGAGCTGCGGCTCCGCTGGACTCGGCGCCCCATCCCGGGCTGACTTTGGGGCGCTCCCCCGTTCTCGGCAAGTGTGCATGGGCTCTCCCCGACTTTGGACGGTCCCAGCCTGGCTGCTTCTTGGCCTGGGAGGCCCCCCCACCTCCACCCCAGGGGGTCCCCGTCACACCCAAGCCCACGAGGGACCCTGGGAGCTGCGGGTGGAGGAACGCAGAAGCCCCTTTCCTCGCCACCCGCGCGCCCCTCAGCGTCAGCTCACACCCAGGGCCGCTGCTGGGCATGCGCTGGGCTCCGCGTCCCGGGCGCTGCCAGCTGCGGGCTGGTTCCCCTTCTGCTCGGAGCCCAGAGGGCTCCCAGGACGGCAGGACAAGGTTGTGCAGACTCAAGTCGTCCTAACTTACATGTGAGTGAAGTTGGCGAGGATAAGTCTCAGGAAATAAGCGCAGAAGCACAGGCTACCCCCCTCCCCCCCCAAGAAGCACCCGCTTTCCTCCGTGTCCGAATCCTGGGTCGAGCCCCGCCCCCTGCTCCGTGAACCGCACACACAAGCTCGCCCACGACCCTCCCAGGCCAGGAGCAGCCCCTATCGTCACAGCCGTCATCATCAAACAGCAACCACAAGGAAGTCAGTGAAGTTTGCAGCCTTAGATGAATCCAAGCCGTTGCTGATAGAAACATGAGTATCTGGATTTACTGCCCATCAGACCCCGAGGGAGAGAACCTGACACAAAGCCCCGCAGGACCGAGTCCCCGTTATCTAGGGCTCAGCTGGGGGCATCCACTGTCATTCATGCCCGACTGCAACCAAGTCAGCCAGCCACGGCATAATTCTAAACTGTACATCGCAGACAAAATGCAATCATATCCACAACAGTCGACTCTGATTCTTAAAAACGTCTATTTAAGGCCAAGACAGAGGAGGCTGCACACACCCAGGACGGAGGCTGGAGGCCAGAGGCCGGCGCAGGAGCCGCGTCTGGGTGTGACCTGTGACCGCCTCCTGCAGGCAGCTCTCCCTCCCAGAGAAGGTGCCTGCCCAGCGGGGAAGGGGGGGGACTGGCCGGTCATACTCCTCGCCCCTCCCTCCATCCACAGAGACACCAGGGCCACGAGGCCATAGGCTCAGTGTCCCGTGAGCCCAGCTCCCGTGTGATGTTCCCTCTCGGGCTGAGGACACAGGAGGGAGGAAGGGAGGCCTAGGGGTGATTTTCGTGGCAGGAGGGGAAGCTGTGATGCTGTGGCCGTGGCCATGGCGACCAGCAGCATCCTCACCAGACTGCTGAGCACCATGGCACTGGTCCAGCCCCAAGCCTGGACCCTGGAGAGAGGAGGCTCCACGGGGCGTTTGCCAAATAACGCAGCCACGGGACGGGAGGCAGCCACGGGACGGGAGACGGGGCGAGGTTCACCCTGAATGTAATCCTCCCAATGAACTGCAAAGCGAACACCAGCTCTGTGAGCTTGCAGTGCCGATGGATGAGGAACAGAAAACTCACAGTGCATCTTCAGGGATCACTGTAAATATAACCTGTATTCAGAACACTTCCCTGCCGTGGAAACGCGCGAGAAGCTTCAGGATCCCCAGACGCTGGCACTAAGCTGTGAGCCTGAGCACGGAGGCGCGTTTGGAAGACACTGTGCTGGTATCATCCCTGCAAGGAGCATCAGAGGGCAGTGCGTCCATTTCCTCCCCCGAGAATAAAAGCGAGCTCTTCCAAAATAAGTTACTCTGCGGAAAATGCGCGTCTGTCTCTGCAATCCCCGCCTTCTCTGGGCTGAAGTCCTTTCAAACAATGAGCTGTGGGCCGCGCCTCCTGCGGAATGGGATGGGCAGTCGGAGTTCTTCTCAGCAAATAAAGTCGCGATCCCTCTATTCAGGCCCGGAGGCCAATGCCAGGTGGGGCTCAGCCGCTGGCACTAAGTGTAAGGTTATTCCTCTGCCCTCTCTGCCCTTCTGGGATGTGGGTTTCAGCCCCACAGGAAGACGGACGCTTTCTGAACACACGGGTTAAAGAACCCGGTCTCTCTGAAGTCACTGAGCTTTCTGTTTGCCGGGCCAGGAAGGGCACAAGACAACCCCCGACCCTGGGCATGTCTCCCAGGCCGGCCTGGAAGCCCCTCAATCGCCTGTCCCCTCTTTTGGAGGGAGGGCAATAATTTACCTCTTTGCCTGCGATCTACCTGCAACGCGCTCCCCTGGGAGGTCAGTGCGGGGAATGTTCCTGGGGAAGAGCAGCCTTGGTCCCCGAGCCCCTGAGGGAAGAACTGCTCTCCAGACCTGGTGTGAGCAGAGCCCTCCTGGCTCCATCACCGCTTCCCGGCTCTGGTTTTCCCTCTGTCATGGCCTCTCCCAGGCTGTCCTGCCTGCAGATGCACCTGCCACCAGACCCTCACGGTTTATCTGCACCACCTCCTGTTCCGCCTGAAATGGTCTGGTCGACCAGCTGCCTGGCCTGTGATGGCTTCTGTCATCCACAGCCACTCATGGGCCTCCGTGACCAAGAGCCCTTTTGATGGTGTAGCTACAAAGACATCCCAATACCCACGGTCATCTGGGTTTTATCCTATGCCATCTGCTTGGAGTTTGTAATTTTGCGTTTCACATTTAGGTCTGTGATCCATTTTGAGTTAATTCTGTGCTGGGTGTGAGGTCTGTGTCTAGCTTTACTTTTGTAAGAAGCTATCCAGTTATTCCAGCTCCCGTGGCTAAAGGGACTGTCCTTTCTCTGTTGTGCTGCCCCTGCGCCTCTGTCAAAGATCAAGTGACTGTATTTATGGGGTCTGTTCTTGGCTTTCTGCTCTGTCCCATTGCTCTACTTGCCCATTATTTCACCAACAACCCGCCCCCCCATGGTCACGGCAGCTTTATGATAAGTTAAGACCCCCGAGTGTCAGGCCCTCCACTCTGTTCTCCTCCTTCAATACTGTGCTGGCCCCTCAGGGCACGTGGCTTCTCTCCATAGAAACTTCAGAATCATTCTGTCGATAGCCACAAACCAACTTGCTTGAATCTGGTTGGACTGCATTGAATCTATAGGTCAAGTTGGGAAGAACAGACATCTGGTCAACATTGAGTCACCTCCCCAGGAACGTGGACCATCTTTGCATCCATTCAGGTCTTCTCTGACTCTTTTCATGAGTGAGGTGGTTTTCCTTACATTTATTTTGTACGTTTCTTAGTCTTAGGTCTCAGCGTTTCTCCTTATTTGGGTGCTTATGCCCATGGCGTTGGGTTGTTAATTTCAGATTTCAGTGGTTCCCGCTGGTGTGTAGGAAAGTGATGGCTTTTGTGCATTAAGTGTGAGCCCTGCAGCCCGTGCTGTAGCCACGTCAGTTCCAGGAGATTGTTGTTCTTGAGTCTTTGGCATTTCTACACATACAGGCATATCTTCTGTGAGCAAAGACAGTTTATTTCTTCCTTCCCAAACTGCACAACTCTTACTATTCTGATAGCTAACTTTTAATTGCCAGGATCCGACTGTTAGATCTGATGATGATCACGTCCGATGATTAGAGGAGTAAGAGCTGTTTCCAGCGGGAAGTGGACGGGGGTGGACCAGGGGGTCAGTCACAGACCCTGCTTACCAGGCTGGGAAGGGAGTGGCTGCGCTGGGAGGGGGCATGGAGGCCTTGGGGTGGAGGATGTCCTGTCGTGACTGCTGGTGGGGAGCTCGGGAGAGACAGACATACGAATGTTTGTGAGCTCTCTCACCTTGGTGACTCCTGTTAGCCAGTCATTATTCCTTCAGCGTATCTGAAATGCAGGTAATAGTAAATGTTATGTTCAAAGTTAGAAACCTTTACAACCATCAATTAATATATTTCTCTGCATGTTGGCCTTGAATAGAAATTCGAGGCAGAAATAATGCTGACAATTTTATTAACCAATGTCACCCCAGTAAATTCAATAAAAAAGAAATAATGCTGAGAAATCCATCCCATTAAAAAGAAAGAGCAATTACTGAAAAATTACCATTATCCTCGTGAAAATGGAGTGCCAGCGCACATTCCTCCATCAATTATGACCCATTAAGTCCGAGGAAGTAATCTGGAAATGACCGGACTGCGTCAGCGGTCCCATAGTCTTCTAAACTATAAGGCGTGCCCTTTGACCCCTAGTCACTCTGATGGGCTGTGTGACCTGGTGGGCATGCTCTGAAAGACAATCTGGGGGAAAAATATAAAAAGAACATAAAATTTCCTGTGACTAATGTCAATTCTCTTAAAAGTTCATAATGTTGATTTCAAAATGTCAGAAAGCCTGGCTCTGGCTTTCTTCTCGTGTTAAGAACTTGCTCCCACTGTGACCTTGTTTCTCCCTGTGCCGTGTTCCATTTCTGTGACGTCCCCACGGCTCACAGGGCTGCGGGACCAAACTTTGCTTGAACGTGTGCGGGCTGGGCTACCTCCGTGTCACACGCCCTCCGTTAAGTCCACATCTCCAGCTGCCACAGAACTTGTTGAAAAGCCTGGGGTATCTGGGGAGGGGGGCAGGGGGGGGAGAGAACCGTGACGAGAGGGAGCCTGCCCTGGACGTGAAGGCGCCCGTGGGGATAGCAGCTGGGATGCCCAGGCTGACAGAGATGGATGTGGGGACCTGTCCACTGAACACTCGTAACAGTCGATAACTTTCATCCTGTCACTGACTTGTCATAACTTCAAATCACTGTCGTCATTATGGCCCAGCATGTGTCTTTGCCTGTGAATGGAACCGTGACCTCCTTGGTTCATAGGTCGATGCTCAACCACTGAGCCACGCCAGCTGGGCAACATAGATGAACATTAAATACATATGACTAATGAAAGAAAAACTTGAGAAGGCTGCATATTGTGATTCCAACTATGTGATGTTCTGGAAAAGGCAAAATTATGGAGACGATAAAAATGAGTGGTTAGCAGGGGTGAGGGGAGGAGGGATGGGCAGGCAGAGCACAGGATGTTCAGGGCAGGGAAACCATTTGTGATGCTATAATGATGTCATCATACATTTAACCCATAGAATGTGCAACACCGTGACCCTCACTCACACCGTGGACTCTGGGTGACGAGGTGTCAGTGCAGGCTCCTCGGCTGTAACAAATGTCCCACTGGGTGGGGATGCTGATGGAGGGAGGCTGTGCCTGTGTGGAGCTGGGGCCACATGAGAAATCTCTATACACTCCCCTCCATTTTGCCGTGAACCTTCTCTAAAATACCTAGTATAAAATCTTAATAAAAAATTCTATGCTGTCTAGAGTGTAACCCACCGATTCTACCTGCCTGTGAAGAGAAATCCTCACAGTGTGCATGGAACACCTGTTTATGTATTTAAATATTATTCATGAGAGAGGCAAAATTGAAGGGCATAATTGTAGCATCAAGAACCGTCACTTCCAGCTAGATTAGAGGCCATGGCTGCTGAAGCTGGCGTAGGTGGGCCCTTACTGAGGAGTTCATGAGGTACAGTCAGCTGACGAGCAGATGAGGTCGCGATGAGGAGCCGAGTCCTGAGGAATTGCTGTCATCTCGCCTGCCGCCGAGTCGCGCCCGGAGATTCTTGGATTAATGATCTGTCATTTTCTGTAGACACGCATCTCCAACCCATGAACCCACAAGTATTGCATGAAAATTCCATTAAGTAGGGAATGCATTTCATGTGTGTTGATATCATGTCTAAAAATAGCAAGGGTCCCGACCACCATTGACAGCATACATTCCTTTTTCCATCAGTCAGGTTACATGAGCCCAGATGTCGGTCGGCACGGAGGGGCTGAGCAGACGGAGCACGTGGCCTGTCTGGCTGGCCTCCCCACCCAGGAATCTGCGAGTGTGGCTTCTTCATTTAGGATGTGGCCACTCTGAATTGAGAACATGAAATCTCTCCAAACATCCATGTAAACCCGCGTCCAAACCTCAGGGTCTCATGCTCCGTAAAGCCCGACTTTAGCTCACACTTAGCAAACCAATGGATACCCTAACTTCTGTTAACCAGTTAACTACCACACGTCCAAAACGGAAACCATCCCCATACGCCACGATATTTTGAATTTAATTTAAAAAATCAATTTGCAATGAATATTATGAAAATAAATATATTACAATTCGGGTGTTCTTGAATATTTTCAGCTGAAAATTCTCATGAAAAATGACTTTAAAGTTGGTCAGGGCTGCCACTTGGGAAAACATTTTTTTTTTTTAACAGATGCACGTGGCATGTGGGGAAGGTCCATCGCTTGCGTCTTCAGACGCTCATGGCATACAATGGGTTAAATTTTATACTTCTCAGCTTCTCTATAAAAACCCCTGAGCCCTTGAAAACACAGGTTTGGGTGGGATCCAGGACTTCAGGACGAGGAAAGAATTCAGAGGCTGCCCTGGAAGAGAATCAGAAAACAAACTCAAGACGGGAGTTGCGGTGTTTTTGAACTTAACTCCGGGCTGTCCTTTGGAATGAAGGCCGAGCCAGAGCGCAGCTTCCCAAACGTGCAAAGGGAGCATCTATACAGAGATCTGGAGCCAAAGCTGAACATAAGCCCAGGAAGTTTAACTGACCTAGAATGTGGCATATTACAAATTGTAAGGACCATTTTCAGGGAAACACAAAGTAATAAAAAGACAAGGCCACAAACACTGTGTGAACTAAAGCCAATTATTACGTTTCCTGTGTCCAGTGCCTTTACTTGTGACGTTAAAACAGCAGCCACAGGGAACCCGGGAAAGTGAGAGAACCCTTCTGATCTGAAATGAGGAACGTCAGAAGACAGCTGAGAGAGAGAGAAACACAGACCATGGTTAGCATAGTAGCCTTTACATTTATTAGCTTGCATTAATTCTGTGTGCCACTGGAAATGTTTATCTTCCCAAAGGTGTCATAAAAATAAAATATTTAGGAAAGAGTGCATATATATGCTTTTAATTACTAACATACATATATCTATATCTATATCTATCTATCTATCTATCTATCTATCTATATATGCCCTTTAAAATGAAGAATGTTTCCTTTATTTATTTTTTAAATGAAGGATACTATTTTTCACGGAGATTTCTTCTGTGTCTTGGTTGATTAAACATCATAGAATAAAATATTTTTAGATGAATAACTTTAACATAGCTAATTCATAATTAATACTATCATTAACATATCTCAAATGTACTAGAACACTGGAGACCATTTTTCAATAAAAGTTACTATGGGTTTAGATAATTAAGTTCTCCTTTAAGAATAAAAATTATAACATCTCTGTAATTTAATATTTATAACTTCTAATTTTTCTATGATAAAAGTAAGATTCCTTTTTCCAGAGGTAAAAATTCCCAATGCTGTGCACCGGGCAGCGGGCAGCGTCCTATTTGCTTCCTGCTGGTTGATGGGGCCGTTTCGTGAACTCAGCAACCTGGACGACAGGTGTCCTGGGACCCGGTACAGGTGGGCTCTGGGGGCCTGGGGTTTTTAGGAGGCAGGTCTTTTTCGGCGCCTTATCTTGTCCTTCCAACAAGGCTGTGCGTGTGCAATAGCTTTCCCCCCGCTTCCTGTCCTGCTGCGGTCCCTCCACATCCATCTCATCGTCCCATCCCCCATGTCCAGGCTGGTCTTCCAGGGATCTGCTCTCTCCGCCTTCTTTCTCTGAAGCTGTGCAACCACCGACTCAGAAGTCCTTTCTCTAGGGGAGAGTCCCTCCTTTTCCAGGAATAAAAACACCTCCTCCCACCCCCTGTGCTGCACACTTACATCTTTTTATCTTGTTATGACACATACCACAGCCCATCCATAAAAATAAATTTACTTCCACAGGAGACATTTAGAAATAGACAAGGGCCCTATAAAGCAGGAAGGTTTATTAAAATTTGAAAGAGTACATAGAGTATTTGCAAGAAGATGAGTGGGAAAAGTGACAGCAAGACAGTGTGCAATGCTGTGTGACAATTTCCGAGGCATCCGTGAGCTATTCACCATGTGGGCACGGGTGAGGGCGTGAGGCCACCGGGGACTCCCAGGTTGCACTCGTGAAGGGGCGGATTCTTATGCTCAAACTTGATTAAATTCCACCGTGTTCATACACAGCTACTGATGCAGGACAGGCAGGTACGTGATCAAACTCACGAAAGGAAGAGCGGCCCCCGTCTGTCCTGCTCCATTTTCCCTTCTTTGGGGGACCTTCCTCACTGCCTTGTCCGTTCTCTGGTATCTGTCAGTTTTGGCTTCCGCATTGTGTTTTATGCAGGTTCCCAGGTGTTTTGTCTGCAGTGAGCAGGGGAAGTCCTCCTCAGCTCTGCATGCCCTCTGGTTAGGAAAAGCCTCTGGTGACAGCGATGTGGGTGAGGACCTGGGCAGGACAGGAGCAGACCTCCCCAGGCACCTGGAGCTGCTCTGCAGCCCTTCCTTCCATGCACAGCTGCCTGTCAGCCGATGGAGCCACCTGTCAGTGATGGGCAGCATGCAGGGCACCTGCTGTGCCACCACTTTCTCCTGCTCATGTGCTGCTCTCTCTACAGAGATCATGACATGGGTCCAGGATTCACACAGATGTGTCCTTGGTTTCCTGCATCTACTGTTCCTCCTAGGATGGCATTGCCAAGCAGATGAGTCATATCTGCAATCCTGTGCACACCCCTGTGCACACCCTGCGCCATGGCTCCTTGTCGCAGACCCTGGACAGCGCCTGTCTGTGAGTCACGTCATTGCAGACACAGTCACTGTTCTCCAGCCCTGAACCCCCCTCACCGGCTAGAGAGGCGAGTGTGCAGCTTCGGGAGGAGTTGGGGACCATGTGTTCCTGCTCAGCGCCAACGGGAGCCCAAGTGCCCCAGACAACCCCTCTCCACGTTTCTCTGACGGTAGAAGATGGCAAGTAAAACAGAATTCTTATAAAATGCTGAATATTTTTTGTGATAGATTTCCAAGGCAAAAAATAGAAACTATATTAGAAAAGTGGGCCTGGCAAGAGGAAAGATCCAATTCTAAGCACCTGTCAACGTTCCGAATTGCCTTTGATTTTATGCCTGAGGGAGTTTAAAATAGCCACACAAACCTCAGTGAAAAGCAAGTGTATAAGTGAAATAAAATAAGAAATTCTACTACTGTATAAATAATTGGAATTCCATTACATAATAGATTAGCGAGAAGAAAGTGCAGATTCCTTAATATAAACAGAGGGGCCTGTGCAGGATGTGCTCGTCCCGGGCGAGAGACGGAGAACAACGTGAAGCTACTGCTGCAGGTAAAGCTCCCACGGACCAGTTCGCTGCAGCCTCTTTTAAAAACGAATGCTCTTCGTGGCTGTGGAGACATTGTTAGGATGGGCTACACTCTTAAAATGATGAAACTGACATTGGTGTAAATATACAGAGGATGAAGGAAATAAAGTATATGCTCTTATAAGTTCTATTGGACAGAGTAATTCTTTTTTTTAAAAAAATATATTTTATTGATTTTTTTACAGAGAGGAAGGGAGAAGGATAGAGTCAGAAACATCGATGAGAGAGAAACATCGATCAGCTGCCTCCTGCACACCTCCTATTGGGGATGTTCCCGCAACCAAGGTACATGCCCTTGGCCGGAATCGAACCTGGGACCCTTCAGTCCGCAGGCCAACGCTCTATCCACTGAGCCAAACCGGTTAGGGCCAGAGTAATTCTTAAATCAAGAGAATTTCTTAACCTCATGACTATGTTGTTCAGTGTTAGACAATCTTGGTAAAGGTAATTATTAACAGTTACATTAAACAGCTTGTAGTGAAAGAAATCGCAGGAGAGAAACACAATAGGAACATACTTGATGAAAAGGAGGCTGGACTTCTTCTACGGTGGGACAGCGATGAGACACTGCACCCAGGGGCCAGCCTTCTGCCCTCGCCACGCCACACCCCTCGCGGGGGTCTCTTGGATGCTCTCCTCGGGACTCTGTGAACGAAGACGGTTTCCACAGACAGAACCGTGTCCTGTGCGTGTCTGTCTCCTTTACAGAAAGAGAAACCTGAACCTGGCAAGTTAAAAAATCAAGAAATTTACATCTTCCACAAAAGATCTATTTAGCCGAAACCGGTTTGGCTCAGTGGATAGAGCGTCGGCCTGCGGACTGAAGGGTCCCAGGTTCGATTCCGGTCAAGGGCATGTACCTGGGTTGCGGGCACATCCCCGGTAGGAGATGTGCAGGAAGCAGCTGATCGATGTTTCTCTCTCATCGATGTTTCTAACTCTCTATCTCTCTCCCTTCCTCTCTGTAAAAAATCAATAAAATATATTAAAAAAAAAAAAGATCTATTTATTAGGCAAACGCAATCTCCAGCTTCAGAAAAGACGTGTAAACAGCTGGTTTAATAGAGCAGAAACATCCATATTAGGAAAAGTAATTTGAGCTGCACAGCCACACTGATTGGGCCTGAACCGGCTGTAGATTCTCAGACAAAATGTTTCTGGCCTTTAAACCTTTTCAAGACACAATATTCAATGCGCAATGCAGCGCAGAAAGGTGGGCTATGACACCTCCCAGAGTGAAATACAAGCGCTGTGTTGCTGTCCACGGCTGACGCACACTTCTACCTGAGCAGGACGGAGTGGGAAGCAGAAGGAATGTTGTCTGTGCATTAAAAAGAAGAGGGCCTGGGGAGAGATGGGTTGGGATATTATAGAAGTAGTAATAGTTATTATCATTTATTAAGCAAAAGCATTCACTTGGCACAATGCATGGCCTTTAGGGCATATTATCACAAATCCTAGAAACCACCCATCAGAAAGGCATTATTAGCCACTTTTACACACAATAAACTAAGACTTGGGCAATTAAAAAATAATAACCCCAGGCCACGCTGCTGTGAGGGAAATCGTTCATGTTCAAATCCAGTTTTCTCTCATCTAAAATCCGTTTTCCCAGAGCCGCCTTCCAAACACGTGCTGGAAACTCTGTCCTCAGCACCTGTGCTCACCTCCTCCATTGGTAACATATTGTTACTGATTCAATGTCCCCGAAGAAGACAGGAACTACACTTGTTTCCCCGAACTCTTCTTTCTCCTTTTGCATGAAAGGTCTTTGTCTAGGAACAGAAAGTTTTGCAGTCACAGCATTTGATTATGTGTTGTCCTCGGGTCTCTATACAAATACTAGAGGCCTGGTGCACGGATTCGTACACTGGTGGGGTCCCTCGGCATGGCCTGCAGGGATTGGGCCGAAACCGGCAGTCCAATGCCGTCTGCCCTCCTGCTCATCCTGGCTCCACTGCGCCTGCCGCAGGCTCACGCCCAGTCAGTCCCGATTGGGACAGGCTTACGCCACCGCGTCTGGCGCCCGTGGGTCAGCTGAGCAGCGCTCCTGATGTGGGAGCGCACTGGCCACCAGAGAGCAGATCCTGCCTTGAGCATCTGCCCCCTGGTGGTCAATGCGTGTCATAGTGACCGGTAGTTCAGGCTTTTATATATACAGACTAGAGGCCCAATGCATGAATTCATGCACGGGTGGGGTCCCTCAGGGTGGCCTACAGGGATCGGGCCCCAGCTCATGCCCCCAGCCTCACAGCCCTGCAGCCCGCCTGGCACCCCGCCATGGCCTGGCGCTGCCCCTTCACCTGCTCCACCATCCCGCCTGTGGGGCGATCGGCCGGGGCCGGGCCCCCCCGCCGCCACCACTGATCGCTGTCTGCAGGGCGATCGGTGGGGTGATTGGGCCCCGCTCGCATCTGCCTTGGCCTGGCGCTGCCTGCTCATCTGCTCCACCATCCCGCTGCGGTCCCGCTCTCATCGCGGCCCATCAGGACTGGCAGCACTGCCACTGCCAGCCCTGCGTCGCCGACACCCACCATGTTCCACGCCGCCCCCAGGTGGTCAGCACACATCATAGCGAGCGGTCGAACTTCCAGTCGAGGGGACAATTTGCATATTAGGCTCTTATTATATAGGATAGACACACCCCACAACGTTTTCATCACTAATTACTAAACGAGCTGTCAGGACAGGCTCATCAGTTCATTCACATTGCAATCGTTTCCACAGATAACACATGACTAATGCCCTGGAGAGGCTCGGATCAGACAGGCAGAACATAAATCCCACCAAATCGGCACAGCAGTGTGGCCATGCAGTCACAAACTCCTCTGTGAGCACAAGGGTAGAGATGCACTGACAGAATATGTTTTTACTGATTTCAGAGAGGGAGGGAGGGAGGAACATCAATGATGAGAGAGAATCATGCATCAGCTGCCTCCTGCACGCCCCTACTGGGGATCAAGCCTGCAATCCAGGCCTGTGCCCTTGACCTGAATCGAACCCGGGACCCTTCAGTCCACAGGCCAACGCTCTATCCACTGAGCCAAACCAGCTAGGGCTGCACTGACAGAATATTGAAAAAATAAAGTGGAAATGAGGTATTAAATTGTTGGGTTTTATCTCTAAAGCTTTTATTACCCATGATTATGGATTTTTCACAAGCACATTTTAAAATAATTTTTTAAAGGCAATCTAATAAAGAACCCCCAAAATAACACATTTAGCTATTCCATGGTGTACAATTTTCTCACCTAAAGTCCAATGGTGTTGATTAAAACCTCTCCGTTCAACAGGTACGAATATATGAAAACTCATTTTGTTGCAAACATCGTGAAAAAGGTGGACCAGATCCCACAGCGCGGGACCTGGTACCGGCCTCGTGCTGCCACCTGCTGGCGCCCCCGTTAAACTGCGGCTCCGCTGTGAGCCCGTGGACGCCCGCTCACCTGGCGCCCCGGCCCCCCGGCCCCCCACTCCCACCCCCGGGCCTGAGCGCCGCTCCGGGGACTGGGGGCACCGCCGGAGGGGCAGTCACCTCCTGGGCGGAAGTCGGGAGAGAATAAGGGTGTCGGCTTTGCGGGAAACAGTCTGCACTGCACGTGCGGGGTCACTTTGGATCTTTCCGGATCTTTCCACTCAGGTGCAGGGAACACTGTGCCTGACTTTGGGAAAAGGAAAAAACCTATTATCGAAAATTAGGAGGACACTGAGCTCAAAGGGGCGGCCGTGACGATAGAGCCAAAGGGCGGAGAAGGCCGCGGGCGGGGCAGGAAGCCGACGGAACCCTAACACCCCCAAACGGGAGGCCAGAGAGCAGGACCCGGCGCTCCCTCCGCCCGCGAGCACGTGCCCGCCGCCCACCGCCATCCCGTAAAGTCCAACGAGGGGACACGGGGCCTGGCTGTCGGACCCGCATGTCTGCGTGTGGGCGGGAGAGGGGGCTGGACCGGGGCCGGAGCGGGCAGCCCGGCCGCCTCCGTTTCTCCCAGGAAAAGACCATGAACTCGCAGGCCCTGGACGCCACACCGGGCACCGGGCGGCCCGCGGCTCTTAGTGCTGCGTTCGGTGGTAAGGGAGGACGGTCCGCTCTCTTTATATCTGTTACGTATGCTCCGTGTGTCCAGCTCAGGCGCCTTCTGCTGCGGCGAGCTTTACCCTCCCGCGTTGTTTGTATATAAATTTATTTTTTTGTCTTTGTGTTTTTGG